ACGCAACCAACAAATCCAACAAGAGCAAGAGGAACAAATGCAAGATCGTCGTAAGCAACTGCTGATGGAAAAGTTTCACTTTACAACCATTGACGAGCAGCAACAACAACAACAACAACAACAACAACAAGACGGCTCCAGTAGTTCTTTTTTCAGCAGTGACAAGAGTAGCAAAAATGCTAACAATAATAACGAGGAGGAGTCAGAAGCCAAGATCAATGACGCCAATGACTACGACAAAGTGGAGAGACTGGATGATATTGAGGCATCCTGTGATAGCAGCAATCAGTTGGCTTCTTCCACCACAGAACAAAAGGCATCGAATGAGAGTGCGGAGAATAATAAAGATGATGCTTATTCTTCGACAGATCGTTCAATTTTGGAACGAATCGAGGACAGTGCTGATCATTATTGTGAGAGCACTGACCAAGATGTTAAAAACCAGAATGTGCAAGTGGAAGGGGAAGGTCACGGCAATATTGCCAATCATCACTGTATGGAATCGAATACCGCCACTACAGCGTCCTTCTTTGGTGGCCTTTGGACCCAGCAGCAGGAGCCATCGCATACTACTTCTACTACTACTACTGCTACCAACAACGACAACAATAACAACAGCTGCAGTAACAACAACGAGTGCAGTATTTGTCTGGATACCTATCAAAGTGGGGATACCATTTGCGTATCCAAGAAACAAGCTTGTCAGCACGTCTTTCATCATGAGTGCATTGAGGAATGGCTCAAAAAGCGAGATCACTGTCCACTTTGTAGAGTGAATTTGATGAGCAACAGTAGCAGTAGTTAGACCACGCCGAACGGTAACTAATATTTTTTGTGCAAAAATAATTTTCTATGTATTTTCTTCAGATGTTCTGTTGTACAGTATATATATTCAATATAGTTCCCAGCACCCCAACCAGCAAAATTCCGAATCTGCCAATAACTTTTATCAATCGCTCGTCATCAAGTTGACCCTACAGAGCGGGCATTCATTGTGATTCTTGAGCCATTCGGCAATGCAATCTTGATGAAAGACATGATTGCATTTGGATGGTGCCCTGGCCACACAAATGGTATCCCCTGGAGTGTAGTCTCCCAAACAAATGCTGCATTCTTGTTCGTGGGTCTTTTTATGATGCTTCCAAAAATTCGCAAAAAAATTGCTGGCCGCATTCGTAGAAGGACGACGTTCAGCACATGGCTGATATTTGGCAGGATCGTCTTCTTGATCTTTATCATTATTCTTGTCGGTGTCGTCTTCCAATGACTGTTGTTGGGGTTGTGCCTCGACATCCGAATTGCCATTTTCAACATTCTCGTTACCATTAGGACTATCATCAAGAATGATACCCTCATGCGTTTCTTGTTGCTTTTCATTCTCATTCTCATCTTCAGCAGCAACAGGAGCCTCAGGAGCAGCAACAACAACAACAGCGTGAGGATGAATGACTGTAAAATGAAATCGCCGATGAAATTCCTTTTTTCGATTGTCCCTCAAGTTTCCTTCTCGTCTCGAATCCTCACGCTGACGTCGTTCCTGTTGTTGTTGCCGTAGGGTCGCCAATTGACGGGTATGTTCGCGATTGTTTCGGATGAGTAACAAAATGGAAACAATGACCGAGGCACCAAAGACAAAACCAATCAATTTGTTGGTGGGCGATATTTGGTATTCTTGATTAATATCGTCTTCCTCTTCATCCGCTTTGGGAGAAAAGAACTTGCTGGTGTTGTTGTTGTTGTTGTTGCTGGTGTTTTCATCATCAGCCTCAATAAGGGATGTGTCATTGTCGTCCACCATCCTTGAAGAAGGAGGTTCCGATGGGGATGCTGTTGGCAGAAAATCGTTGGGACTTTCGTCATTAGCATTTGATGGAAGAATACTGCTACTGCCATCAGCAAGACTTGGAGTCAAGAGAAAGCACGACAGAAGCAATGCAGTGAAAATTACCCATGATGGTGATAGTGGTGTTCGCTTGAACTTCATACTTCAATTTTGGATGTAGAGAAAGAGCAGATGTAATTAGAAGATTTCAGCTGGGCTATGATATAGATGAGGATACTGAGTATGACGAGAGCGTGTTGTGTTGTGTTGTGTTGTGTCGTGTCGTGTTGTGTTCTATATATGTCTGCACAATACTGAATACACTCTTTTGTCGTTATTGTTACGCTTTTCTCGAGAGATGCATCAGCTGCGAATGCTTTCAACGTCACCGCAACATTTCGTGTAGACTGATAAGTAAAAAAATAGAAAGATCCAGCTTTCCTGTAGACCGAAGTAAAAATCATACGAATCGTACGATGTACGAACAGGATTGGTACGGGGGTTACCTACAGTAGCAAATACCACGTAAAACCCTCCTCCATGAGATCGAGAAGAAAGTAGAATTCTAAATTCGTGGTGTTCTCCAAATAAAATTCAAAATGACTGATCGCGTGTGTCACTTTCAAACTGGTTCAGTACCAGAGTCGAAGAAGTCAACAATCATTTGATTTTCTATTAATTATCGCAATCACATGCACGGCACTTTTTTACTACGGTACAGTATCCGATATACTACTGTAGGACTCGGACAATGTGTGGTTTCTAAATTCACAACAGAGGTTTTTATCTTATCATCGCATACCATATTCTTACCGAAACAGTTTTTCTCCTGGTGTGCGTCGAGCCAATCCTTCCAAAGAATCAATCAATCAATCAAATTCGCAGCCTATAGTCAATAAGATATGGTGATGATGTTCCGAGGAGTCTCCTCATCGTCATTCCTCTTGTTTGCGACTAGTACTATTATCCTCAGCTCTAGAGCAGTAAGTGTATCTCCTAGCGCCTATCAATGCTCCAACGACAAGGTGTCGGGGCTATGGACCAAGCAAGTGAATGAAAATAACTGTTTTGGCATTCGAGACGATTGTGAGCTATAGTCAGCGCAGTGTGGTCGTGAAGAGACATGGTTGGCCAATGGGCTCCTGGTGTTTTGGTTCCTTAACATACTTGAAAGGAGGGAGATACATGGGTAGGTAAATCTTCTTTCAATGATTACATTTCATCCTGAGATGTCTCTTCTGTCTATATAACATGGAGAATGTTTGAAGGTGCAACATCCTTCAGTCAAGACTTGTCATCCTGGAATGTTTCAAAGGTCATCGATGTGCGAGGGATGTTTGCGGATGCATCGTCCTTTAAAACAAAGACCTATCACCATGGGATGTTTCTGCTGTAACACAAATAGATCGAATGCTGTTCACCAATGTATCATCCTTCAAACAAGACTTGTCGTCCTGGAATGTTTCGGCTGTCAGAAGCTCGGAGCGAATTTTTATTGCTTTCCATATATTTAGCGTGCGTGTCTCGAGTGCGACGCTTGGAAAGAAAGTGTTGCCTACTCTACTGAAAGGTCAAAAGTCCAACCGATGCCCCGACGTTGGAATAGTCATCATCAAATCCAACCATTATAAATAATCATGAAAGCCAAAGTCCTACACATGCCCCGACATCCGACAAGACAAGTGCAACAGATGATTCGCGGGCGATGGATTCCAGCGCAAAACGAAGAATACACACGCTTGGCTCTTTTCAATCTATTTGTTCTTGTTCCTCCTACTCTAATAAGCTTGTTCCTAAGTTACTAATGAGGATTGAACATAACTTATACTCTTGGCGGTGGTATAGCGTTGATATTCAGCACTTATTCCTAAGTGGTGACCAAAGAAGCATGAGCATTGCAATATAATGTCTTTCCTACACTAAACATTATAATAAAAAGGCCTTTTCTTTATATATAGAAAGATTAAAGCGTATTTTTCCCTTCGCAGATCCTAGTCTGATCAGGTTCAAACGGTATCCTAAAAAGTCGACGACTGACTCGCGACCTCCTCATATCTCAGCAACTTCTTTTTCATCATGTGCACCCGCAAATACTCAAATTTCCTGTCAATTCACTGGAAAAAGTCAAGCCCTCTCAGGTAGAAACGCCAGTCTCAGCTGGTGCGAACATGGGATTGCCGCTTTTCTCTCTCGAAATGAGGACAACACTGGCAAGAATTCCAGCAACAGCCAAAGCACCAGCAACAGATAGACCAATTACAACTCCAGAACTAGGCCCTTCCTCCTCATATGCAGCAGCAGCAGCAGCGGCGGCAGCCTCTTCCTTGGCTTTCTGGTCCTCCCAGTAAAAGGCAGAACATTCGAAGAACGAACCTTTGCCGCAAAAGTAGTCATTCTTGCAGGCATCGTACCAAGCGTTGCAGTAAGACTTTTTGATAGGCATCTTGAAAAGCTGCCACTCATTGTAGTCAGGGTCATCAAACTGATCCTCTTTGAACTTACGATAAAGCCCAGCGGAAGGTTCGCATTCGTACAAGCAAGCTTCCTGAACAAAGAAACGCTCACAAGCTTGACTCATGGGTCCACAACGGTCCCACTCAAATCCAGGTCCGTATGCGGCATTCAAAGCTGAGCCGGACTCGACTGTGTCGCTGTTGCAACAAGCGTTGTTTTGCCAAGGGTGGCATTCGCTCATGTTGTCATCTTCTGGGCTGGGAATCTCCTTGTGAAAATAATTCAAGTGGCATTTATCTGGGGTTGAAGAATTGCCATGGATCTTGGCAGTCACTTCGTTGTTCGGGTTGGTGTCATGATCGAAGAACCACATGGTGTAGCCCATGCTCTCGTCATCGACAACCGTGAAGGAATCCTCCCACATTACCTCACACAATTGAGTTCCATCGGCGTAGATGTTCTTGAACTGGGTGCAACTCTCTTCCCAGGCGGATGCCGCCGGGATGGTGCAGAGGCCAATCACAATGGTGGCTGAAAACTTCATGATGTTTCTGTTCGGTTCCAACTTTGTGGACAACGTTGACAGATGAATTCTGTGGCTGTTGTTGTTGTTTTGTGTGGAAAGCAGAGGAAAATGGATCTTTTTTCGCGAAAAAGATATGTGTGGACACAGACAAAGGTTGAAGGTGTAGATATTTAGGCGTCATCACATCACTCTCAGCCTTGCCACAACGAGGAGGGCCAGAATTGGTCACACTTCTCTGTGACTCACCCATCTGAGGGGTTCGCTTCCGGCGGCCTTTCATTTTTTTTGTCAGCGGACAGGCGCAAAATTCATTCAAGTGCTGGTACCGGTATACGGTACGGTACGATACCTGGTACTTGGTACGCACGCTCTTGGCTCTTCATTACTGCTCCATGGGTAATACCCTGGTACCAGGACCGCAGTACCTGCGGTGCTCTCTACAGACCGTTGCTTGGGCATGTGGACAGACTTCCAACATACCGGTACTTCCAACAGACGTCGAATAATCTTACGGCGTAACGTGACTGACTGGACTGCCGAGTCCCGAGCAGATGTATTAGAGCGATCGAAGGCCAACGGTCATCGCCGAATATTCAGCCCAAGATCAATCATTCATCATCTACTCACAGCTGCTTCAGACCCCCGTAAATACACCCCAATAGCAATATCAATCACCGTCTATCATGTCCAACAGTAGCTACATCAACGCACTAGTACGCTCTCTCTACGAGGAGAGCCAGGAGCACAACGTTAGCACGTTAAGTGGAACGTTAGCACGTTAAGTGGAAGCCAGCCCGAGATTCGAAGCCCAAACGTATTCGATTCGCAGTCAGAGCCACCAAGTTTGTTCACACGATCATCTAACACATGGGGAGGACAGTTCAACCCTGACCATTTCCAGCGCAACGCGTTCGCTATGATGTCAGCAAGTCCTGTCAATATGGAGAATGCAGCGTTCGCCGCGATGACTGCCGCGTCGCATCACAAATATGAAAAAAACAAAAAACGAAGCGATCGTGTCAACGAGAAATCGTATTGGGTCAATGGAAGCCACGTGGACGAGACCATCACCTACAACCAGTATACCATCGATACTGCCGTGTTGGCTCCAACTACTGAGTCTCCGGAAATCAAGCAAGCGATCCTACAACAGTCTGTGAACTCCATCAAGCAGACAAAGACAACAATGGAACACAAGGTGGATTTCTTGATGAAGCGCTAC